CACGTGGCTTCTGCTCAGCCTTGGACCTTGGGGTGGACCACGGTCCTGGCTGCTGCTGCCGCTGTGCTGGGGGTGCAAACAGCAGCACGGCACCTCCAGCAATGCACAGCCATGGTCTAACCTCCAGAGTCCTTTACATTAATTAAGTGAAGAGGTCCAGTGGGGACTGGGAACTTGCAGGATCCATGGTGAGGGCTGTTTTTAGACTGGGAGGATGAGCTGGTGGGCTCAGGATAGGACCTCATAGCTCTCTACATGGGATTTCTGCCTTGGGGGGTGAGGAGGGGCGTATATTGGTGGTTTCTCCAAAAAATTGAGGGCGACTGTACAGTTTCTTGGCTTCCCTGGAGGTATTCAAAGCCAGGCTGGATGAGGCTTTGAGCAACCTGGGCTGGTGGGAGGTGTCCCTGCCCATGGCAGGGGGGTGGAACTGGATGGTCTTTAAGGTCCCTTCCAACCCAAACCCTTCTGTGATTCTATGAAATCCAGAAGGTGACCTGCAACCTGGGAGCAACCGATCCCTTTGCAAGCAGATGTCTCATGTCTCACCCTTGCCTCTCACTGCTATTAGCCCTCAGCATCAACAGTGGCATTGATGATACTCCCAGAATTTGCCACCTCCCTTTCTTTAATAGTCCCAGTCTGACATTGCTGCTCTCCAGGGCTCTGCTCTCTCTGTGAGGTCAGGCAGCTGTTTCTGGTGGCACATTTCTGCAGATGTTGGGAGAAACAAAACTATGCTGTCAAAAAGTTCTGGCTTTGGGGCTGATTTGCCAGAGAGCCAGCAAAGAAGAAAGGTTGGACTGCAAAACATCCCCCATCCGACCCGACGTGCTGTTCCCAGAAATGGTGAAACATTCCACTGCTTTCCCAAACCTGTCCCCCCAAATCATGGCCACTCGCTCTGCAGCTGTGTGGACGTGTTGGGTGGGATGTCCCACCTCTGGGCTTAAGATACAGATAAATAAATCAAACAGGAAAACCCAGCTGATGATCACAGCCCCATTTGAAACACGAGGTATGGGGGGGGAAATCAATGCATGTAAAATAGAGATGGATGGGATCAATGCAGAATAACCCCCCCAAAACAACCTCCTCTTTTTTTTTTTTTTTTTTTCTGCAAAAGGACAGATTTCAAGTGCTGCTCTGATCTCTCCCTAGCAGGGAGGTTTAAAGCAGATCAGAAACCACACTCCAAAAAGCATCTTTCCCCTCTTTGATAACAAGGGGAGAGCCAGATGGAATTTTTTTGCTGGAAATCCCCATGGACAGAGGAGACAAGGTGTGCAGAGAGGAGAAGGCTGGCACCGACCCCACCGGTCCTCACCCTAAAGCTGCCAAGGAGGGAGGGGATACTGGGGCCAGCACAGGATCGGGGTGCTGACGCTGGATCCCCCCAGCTTTGTGGGGCAGGGCAGTCCCATCTCCTGGGCTGTACTGGGACTGAGAACAAGCCCTGGTTCCCAACTGGTACAGGAATACCGAAGGGCTTGGCTCCTCCCTGAGCCACTACAGGATGGCATGGGTTGATGCAGAGAAGATGCAGGTCTGAGACCAGGTGTGATCATGATTTTTGCTTAAATAGGGACAAGAGACACCTGAGAGCATTGGCTCTTCCCATTGATGCCTTCTCCGGAGAAGGATTAAATTTCTATTTGGATTTCAGACCCACCAGGTCTCGCAGCCTTTGGGTGGAAGGTTTCGGTTCGGGCTGTTGAAGGATTGAGAGGCTCTGTGAGCGATGCAGCACAACACTTGAGATCCTGCCAGGTGGTTGCGATGTCTAACTGGGATTTTTTTCCCTCCCCACCATGGTTTTGGCTTTTTGCCTGTTTCTGGATGTCCTGCATATCATTCCTGATAGGAGGGAGCTGCTGCAAGCCCTCCCTGGCCAGTCATTAGGAGCAGTTAAGAGTGTTTTAAGGCAGGTGTTGAGCACTTCCAAATGTCTGGGGAGATCTTTGGACACTGTGAAAGCAAGGAAACGTTGGAAACCCAAGTATTGAATTTCGTTTTCCAAACAACTGGCTGCAGCATATTGCTGCCTGTCAAAGCTGAAGGCTCCTGCGTGCACAAGTCAGCACGTTTTTACATTCCCAAGGGCAGGGATAGGGCTCACTCCAAGTGCTTCCCCATTGCTCTCTGCAGGCAGAGCCAAGTGTTAGACCGCTGTCATGGCAGGATCTTTGATTTATATTTTTTTTTTTAGTTGAGGATGAATTCCTTCCCTTGATTAGTTTTCCTATTTTCAGGTTGGGGATTAATTCACATGGATATAACACCCTGTTAGTAATGTAGAACCACAAAATGATGAGCTCTCCTTTGACCAAAGGGGCCCCTGGCCCCCTCCAACTCCCTTTTCAACTTTTTTTTTTTTTTCAGTTGGGCTAAGAAAATCCCGGAGAAGAGCTGTCGAGCCCAAGCGCCTGCTAATGTACTGGAAAAAACTCTGATTTTGTTTTCCTTCCCCACCATACATTGTGTAAAATGGGTTTGGATAACACATAGGAGATGGCTGGGATGACAGTGGGGGAGAAGGGATAGGGGATCAAGTTGGGGTGCATGGCCGATGGCCAAAGCCCCACTAATTGCCTTGAAATTTGGGTATCAACCAAACCCTCTCTGCCCTCGGCAGTGCAGGGATTTTGCTTGGGTGTAAGCCCTGCAAATGGCCAAGCAGCCCAAAAATATTGGTGAGACCTGAGATGCAATCTCTGCTTTTAGTGCAGGATTTGAGGGCTGAGCGTTTCCATTCATTCTCCATCCTTTCTGAAGCCTTCAGACTGAAAAGAAATGAAAAAAAAAAAAAGTCATAGAGGGGTTTTGCAACATCTCTAAAACCACGTTTCCTCCGGTGCCCTTTCCTGGCAGATGCACAGAGCTTGGCCAAAAAAATGTGAGAAATGGGATGCTTTGGGGAGGAAGAGCTGGGCTGGGTGGGAAACATCACACCAGGCTGTCAGGGCCACCCATCCCTCCAGGGATGCGAGACTCTGGGAGGAGAGGAGTGAAACTGGGACGGTTAAATCTGAGAAAACATTTTCTTTCAGTGTGGTTTGGCTTATTTTTTTTTTTTTTTTACTGTGATGATCTGAAAATCATAAATACACCCTCAAATGCCGTACATGAGAATAAAGCTATAATTAAAACCTAGTGTGAAGTACAAAAGCAAAAAAGAAAAAAAAAAAAAGACAGATTTCAGTGTAGCAATGCTGCTGAAATGTTTCTCCTTCCTCCTCAGAAAATACTGCTGAATTCAACACGTTCCTGTGAAACATCATCTTCACCAAAACTTTTTTTTTTTTTTCCCACTGAAGCTAGTGGAAAAGCATTGCAGGAATAAAACCCTCAGCCAGTGCTGTATAAACAGCCGTCTCGCTGCTGTGATGGGTCCAGGCTGCCTGGACATATCCCATCTCACTGCTCCCCATCCCCACCGTCAGCATCGCTTCACCCCTGGTAGAAATATGCTGTTGGATGCTGCTTATTGCCAGTTGTTATGTGTTTTTTTTTGTTGAA